GGAACAGGGATGGCTTTAGAGAAGGAAGCAGTTGTGTAATTGGAGAGTTCATCAATGCCTTCTGTGGTGTTAGATTCAGTGGATTGTCAAATTTTTCTTCTTTTAGATTTGCCGTATTGAAAAGGACTCAAGAGTTCAGCTGGTCTAAACTCTCACAGGAATTTGTTTATATTCAAGCAGGAGTCCACTCCCAGCACCTGGGGAGGAGAGAAACTAGGAGAAAGTTCTGAGGGCCTAAATTTCACTACTTAATAAAGAATTTGCTGCATTCTAATTTTAAAAACATGTTTATTTAATAAAAATCATTCCCTTTCATTTGATTTATATAAGGTAAAATAGAAACAAAGAGTTTGGACTTTGACTCATTTTTAACATTTAAAAAACATTAACATTCATTCTGTGACAAAATTCCTGACAGTGTTTTGTTTTTCTTCTTTAATTTTTAAAGCCTCCAGTTAAGTTCCTATCAACAGTTCTTGGCAAAAGTAATCTTCAGTTTTCAGGAATGAATATAAAACTGACCATCTCAACATGCAGTCTCACACTGATGAATCTTGACAACCAACAGGTAAGATCACAAATGTCATTTATAGTTTAACATATCTATTTTTCCAGAGAAGCCTGGGGATAATGAAAAGAATAAAGTTTTAGACAGAGTATGCCTACAACTTAAGACAGCACAAGGGAAAAATCTGCTGAAGATTTATGCATAACAATCATTAGAACAACAGCATTACTAACCCATCACTGGGGCATGTAACCACCTACATATGTGCCCCTACCTAACTGGCTTTGAATGAAGAACTAAGGTGCAAAGAACATAGAAAATATCATTTAGCAACTCATATCCTTAAATTGATCATTGATGTCTCCACCAACCCTCTCCAAATGGATAGCAATTCCATTATCACAACTGACAGACTGTGTGTTGGGCTAGGGTGCAGATGAGGGACAAACGGGAAAGGTGATGTTGGGGTTAGTGTTCTAGCAAACTGAAATTTAAGCAGAAAGTATTTTCTTCCAATTCTTGTGGTTGAGAAGCTTTCTAAAATGTTATTGTATAAAAGATAATGTTTTCTTCCTTAATAATTTATGATACTGTGGTGTGCCTAAGTTTTCATTGTGAACCTCATTTCTCAAAGAACAGCATTGCTGAAGCAAATGTAGAAGATACATAGGCATTGGGCTAAATATGTACCTTAACAAGGACATTTTGTTTGGCTTGCTTTTAATTTTTTAAACTAAATTCCTTTTATCAGGTTATGTATGTGTGTTCGGATCTGATTTTCCTCTTTGTCTAATATGTTGTGATCCAAGTTTCTTTACAGTTAAGGTTTTATTGTGTGGAGTGCTGTTGATCAAGGTTTAATGTGTACTTAATAACATGCTAAAAGCTCTGAGGTTACATATGGGTTGAAATGCTGGCTTTGCCACTTACTAGCAAGTGACTCTACTACTCTGGGCTTCAGTTTTCTTCATCAGTGAAATGAGGATTATAGTACCTATTTATAAGGTTTCTGAGAGGATGGACTTTAAGTGTCTCATAGGTCTGTTTAGAGGATTCAATGAGATAATAGATGTAAATTATATAGCATGTGCCAGTCACATAATACCTATTATTATTATTTACTCAAATATTCTCAGAGACCTTTTCATATACTCAGTACTTAATAGGAAGAACATATTATAAGATTATAAAATTATCAGTAACATATAAGTACAGGTTTTGAGGGCTATTTTATTTTCTAAGTTAAAAAACAGAATAAAATACACTGTTTAAGCAGTAGTATACAACACCTTAGAGGAAAAGTGCTAACATGAAACAGTTACAAGTAAATTCTTTTCTAGTTGGGTCCTGATTGATCTTCCAAGAGTGGTGATGCCATTGGTGTAAAGAGAGCATAACATTTTGAGCTGTGCTTGGAAGACATGACACATATGAGTGGTAAAACATTCATTCAGTCATTCTGACATTTCGACTTCAGTACATATGTAGATGCAAAATTTATTTTTAGTTTTCATTCACACGGATGGTACTATGAAAGTTCAATGCTTTTAGTTATGAAATCTCACTAAGTAGAGGAGCCCTCAGATTATCTCGGAGTTTTGTAAGGGAGGAAGAGTGGGCAAAGCTGAAGCCATCATAATGACAGCCTTTTGGGTAGAATCTAATGATCATTTTTTAAGATGACCCTTTCTGTGGGGTTCCTGAAATGAATGAGGAATTTATGAAGAATGGGATTGTGGTGTATGTGGTGGGGCAGAGTTTATTCTCAGCCTCTCTTTCCCCTTCAGTACCCTTCTTTAGGGCAAAGTATTACTACCCATCTATAACCTTTCAGGCAAAACAGAGGTGAGGATAACGGGTGATTTTCATTACCAGTAACTGTAGTAATATGATGTGCCTTTTAAAGTAATCCACATCTTTTCTGCACTGGTGCCATGGAACGGGGTTGTATTCAGCCCACTGCTGGAGTGGGGACCAAAGTTAAGATCTCATTTATCTCAGACCTGAGGGCTGATTTTTAATAACTATTTTGAGCTTTTCTGCAGGCCTAGGGGAAATGGCTGGAAGGTGGGAGAGATGTGCCACTGTAGAGGCCTCAACTCAAGAAGCTTTATGTCTTGTGAGAAAGGCAACTAAAATGTTAAAGAAATGAACACAGCGAAGATTAGAGACCTTGTGGATACAGCACAAGAAAAGGATTAATTAAATCCTTAATGCTACCACTGGAAGTTCTAAAATAAATACAAAGAAATATTAATGCTTTCCCCATCCCCACTTAATTTCTAAGATATACTTTGGACTAAAAACAAAGGTTCAAGTTTATGGATATATTCATAGATGATAGCATTTATGGAACAGATAGTTCACATTTATCTTTGGTCACTGAGAACTCAAGAATATAACCATTCGTTCCCAGAAAATATTTTACAAACCTCCAGAGGCAGAAAATATTAAACATGCAATGCTTGCAATTTTTAAATATTACCATATTTCAGGATGGGAAAATACACTTTTGCAAGGGTAAGTTATAGGTATTTCCTTGTTTCAAAATTGAAGCAACAGACTTTATTGACATACTTTAATATATTATTTTAGGGCCTCAAGCAAAAACGTCAGAGTCTCAGTAGCTCACACTCCCACTAATTCTTTACTGATTTCTACAACTCTAACAGATACTGAATTCAGAAGGGTAATAGAGTTAAGGTAAAACGGCAAAAACTGAGACATCCTTTAGTCTCTACAAGGAGAGGCAACTTGAGATATTTAGAGGCCAAGTAGGTAACGCAAGCTGTGCAAGCACAAGAAAAAACAATGGTGCAAGCCCAATGATAAATATCAAGTGCTACCTGGCCTCTATGTTGGGGAGATAACACTGACACTTGGCAAACAGAACACCTTCCTTGTCTAAAGGTGAATCAGATGTTTTTGTTTGTTTGTTTGCTTTTTTGTCTGTTTGGTTTTTGGCTACATAGGTCTATAGGTCAAAGGCTCCCAGATCTTTTACTTTAAAAAAAAAATAATAAAAAGTTAAGAATCTAGATTTTTAGTTGCTATCTCTGTACTGAGATGTTGGTCTCTTAAAATTATAAGCATGAACCAAACAAAATAGATCTGTGGTCTAAAGATAGCCAACATGGGATATCTGATCTAAGCGAACATTTGTAATACATATGGATAAATTTGCAAAACTCTCCCTAATCACACTGTGTACTCAAAAGCTTCTTTAAATCCCCTATCTTGCAAAATCAGTTAGAATTTCCCCAGAACTCCTTTCTCTAGTTCCCTTAAATGAAGATACACACACACACACACAAACACACACACACTCTCACACACATCTTCATTTAGTCCTCACAATTTGTAAGGTACATCCAATTGTCCCTATTTTCAGTTCAGGACCCGAGCCCAAGAGATTGATTTCCCAGTTACTGAGCTAACAAATAGTAGAACCCAAATTTTAACCAAGTAGTCTGGTTTATCTGTGGTAACTGCATGTAAAGGAAATACAAATGATTTTACACCCCTAAAAGGAGTGTTAAAATGTTAATTTTCTATCCTCAATAAATACAAATAAGTATTTACAATTTTCATTGTCTCTCAGCTTACTGCCTATTTTTAAGACTGAAAAACAACCGAGCCAATTGCAGAGCCCAGGTTTTTCTCCCCAAGATGGGCCTTCAGATGCAACAGGGAGTGTTTCCCACCCCCAACTCTTGTGCCCTACTTAGTTCCAGAGAGAAACAGAATCACAATCTTCTAGTTTGTGGACGTCAGATTTTTTTTTCCCAAGAGTTTATCTTTCCTAGTAAAGATAAACATCTGGAGGTAAATACAACCAGCCAGTTTATTGTGCACTAGCATACCCCCATCCACACTAATTTACATCACGCATGCAATTAATTATCTATCCACACTCATCTGACCGTAGCTACAGGCTAATTGAGATAGCAGTGGAAGTGGTAGGATTAAGAAGTCTAAGCACCAACACTTTACTTCCACCATCTCTCCCTCCCAACCTAGCTAGTGTCCGAACAATTCTGATCATCCTTGTCACAGTCTTATCTTTTACAGATCTCTCCCCCCAAAAGACAAGATGACCATAAAATAAATAAGGCTCTGAATTGTCCTGTTGCATTGGATATTCGTTCTTTACTGCTATAATGGAGCAGAAGCATCTGGAACCTTTTTACTGATCATGATAAAACCTGCTGATATACTCATTTTGCTGAACATAGCCTTCTGATGTAATCATTACTCTCCTAGAACCTCAGCATCTTAGTAAGGTAACCATGGCAACATACTCATTGATAGGGCAGGTTTTCCTAGACCAGCAAATTGTTGTAGGGCAAAAACTTAATTTACAAAGTTTAATTTCCAGAAATTAATTTGTGAATTAGATAGCTGAAGCTGGATTATTTTCCCTTAATACTGGTTAACACATACAATAAAAACTAGTATAAAGTATGTATGCAATATTATTAGCCAAACAAAATACACAGAACAAGAAATTTTATTATCTCCAATGCTGGTGCATAACAAATAACAAGCTTAATTAGAGGAGGAGACAGAGGGAAACTTCAGATACCAAGGTAATTTCTGGGTAGGTTTAAAACCTTTAAAAGTTGATAGAATAACTGTTCATAAAGTCTTTTTAGATATAGGGCTTTTTACTTGACAACTTTTTATTAACAGTTCTTACAATATGAAGTTCAACTAAAGTATTTCACCTGTCAAGTTAAAACAGCAAGCAAAACAAAATTTCTCTAGTATATAACAGCGTGAGCAATGGTTTCTTTGTACATTCACACACATTTAGTGTCTAGATTTGAAAGTTTTTAATTAAAGATGTCTTAATTTTTGACTTTTAAAAATGGTTATGACAATGAATTTTCTTGATTTATAGATCACAGTGGCTTTATAAATGATCAAGATACATGTACAAACAAAATTTCAGACGCTCTTGGAAACACATCTTAACATACAGAGCACACGTGATACATCTTTGAGTTTACTCATCCTTTTGGAATAATGAAGAATACTTCATTTATCTTACACTGAAAATTTAGCCTTTGATAACTATGGCTTGACTAGATCACAAAATAGAATTTCCCAAGTTTTCTTAAACTTTCAGTCCAAATAACTCAAAAGATATGTGTCCTAGTTGGATACATTTTTTCTCATTATATAATTAATATCAGTGGGCCCTTGTATTGGCAGTTTGTCTTGGTCATGACTTATTCTTGCAAAACCATCTTTACAGCAAACAAATATGAAAGATATTTTCCCCAATGCAAGGAAAATAATCTGGATCAATAACAAAGTCAAAGCCATAGGTGTTTTAGGACATTCTTGATAACAGATTTCAACGGTCTTAAAAATCTTTTTTTCTTTTTCTTTAATGATTCGCCTCCTTTTTCACAACTGTGCAGTCACTGTCCTATTGTCTTCTATTCTGAAAAACAAATTTTTTTGAAGGTCAAGTTTTTCAATGGCACAAAACTATTTGGAATGAACCCAAAAGAGAGCGGAAAGTTGGGTCCCTCCTCAAGTAGTTTCCTCCTCTTTTAACAGCATGTAACTACTCTCTATCAATAATCTCATCACAGCCGAGTTCTTCGGTCAGACGATTGACAACCATCAGTGAAAAAAGCTCTTCGATAAAAGCTAACTGATCAAACGGGGTCTTCTCATAATGCATCTGAAACCCGCCATCCAGGGCTGCTTCTCTTGTTCTCAGAAACATCTTGTCGGCTTCTTCAAGAGCGGCTGATACTCTGTAGCCGGCACCACTAAGCTGCTCCTCTTCGGGATAGTCGTAGTCGTCCTCCCAGTCATCAAATTCCTCGCCCTCGTCCTCGCTCTCGAAGTCTGCGCCCGCCACCTGGCCTGGCTGCTCCCCAGCGTTGGGCCCGTTAGCAAGGCTCCGTTTCCCCTCTGGCGCCGCCATTGGCTGGGCCTCCTCCTCCTCCATTGGGCCTTCCTCCTCGAGCTGTGGCGGGGCCCCGTTGCGGGAGGGACGCAGGGATAGCTCCCGGCTCCCGCTGCCTACCTCCATCTGCGGTAGGTCACCCTCGCCAGGCATCACATCCATTTGCAGGTCACTGCTCTCTTCATACAGCTCGGACAACTCGGCCATTTCCGACATTATGCAAACCGCTCAACCTCTGGGAAAAAGCTTCCAGCAAGATAGATGCTGCGCGGCCGTGCGTTTGTGCGCGTGCGCAAAGGCTGCGCGCTTGCGTAACCCCGCGCGCAGGCGTGGTCCTCAGGTACCGCCTCCTGCTTGGCGAGCCAGTGTGGTTGGCGTAGCTCAATGTTTTTCCCGGGGTGTGGGCGTCGCTTTTTGAGCTACGTTTCGGTCGATTCGAACTTCGTATCTAGGGACCCTGTAGGCAAGAGCGTAACAGTTTCTGTGTTACTTAACCCTAGTGCTGCTTGTGATGCAGCAAACTGGAAAATAACTTTACATGGCCTTCGTAACATTAATGTGCCTCCCCTCCCTTCTTCCTCCTCCCCGGGGCAATTTATGTATGTGCTGATGACTTCTAAATCCACGTTTCCGAACCAGACAACATCCATACCACAGATCAGTATATTAAGAACTAATCCATTCTGTCCTTTTAGTGTTGTCATTTAAGAAGTTAAATTCACAAACGACATATATAGTACTTTTTTTTTTTTTTTTTTTTTTTTTTTTTTTTTTAGTTATAGCGAAGAACTACTTGGTCCCATTTCTTTTCTCCGGGTAGGTATCTTTCCACTATTACCAACGCGGCGTGTATTCTTTAAATTCTTTATGTTTGCATTTACGTGTATCCTTATGTATTCATAGCAAAATACTATTTTGTGTGTTTTTTAAAAACATGTTTTACCTGTCTTCAACTTAAAAGCCTCAGCTTTTTAGTTGTATATACTTCTATGAATTATATGACTGTGTCTACTTAAGGATTCAAGCACGTTTCATTTATTCCACACTTTATTTCTATTATTATAACATTGTAGTTATGTAGAATTATACAACTCACCATAATGTAGAATCAGTGGGAGCCCTGAGCTTGTTTTCCTGCAACTAGACAGTCCCATCTGGGGGTGATGAGAGACGGTGACACCCAAGGTGTGTTCCTTATGTCCAGTCGATTCTGTAATCTCATTTTGGTTGCTGTTACTGCGGAAAATCCTGCCTCACAAAGATAGGATGTTGAAAATGAAAGGAGGCTTTTCAGTACTTTTGTGGCAATCTCAGGATATTCCACCTTGACTTTAATCGAGAACATATGGAGATTTGAAGTTGTCTCAAACATACTTTTAAGGCCACCGTCATTTGCAATATCAAGCAGTTGATCCTCTTCTAGCATGGACAAAGTGGATTCACCTGGCTTATTCACAAATGGGTCACAGATCCATTCTGTCTTTTGTGTATGGGAAGTGTGATGGTTAATACTGAGTATCAACTTGATTGGATTGAAGGATACAATTATTTATCCTTGGTGTGTCTATGAGGGTGTTGCCAAAGGAAATTAACATTTGAGTCAGTGGATTGGGAAAGGCAGACCCACCCTTAATCTGGGTGGGCACAATCTAATCAGCTACCAGCTTGGCTAGAATATAAGCAGGCGGAAAAATGCGAAAAGAGACTGGCCTAGCCTCCCAGCCTAAATCTTTCACCCGTGCTGGATGCTTCCTGCCCTTGAACATCGGACTCCAAGTTCTTCAGTTTTAGAACTTGGACTGGCTCTCCTCACTCCTCAGCCTGCAGACGGCCTATTGCGGGACCTTGTGATAGTGTGAGTTAATACTTAATGAACTCCCTTTTACATATATATATGTGTATATGTGTGTGTGTATATGTATATATACCATTAGTTCTGTCCTTCTAGAGAACCCTGACTAATACAGGAAGTAACCCTCAAAATCTTTGGAAAGCTGAGATAGGTGATCATGTACCAGCTGGGAGAAAGAAGACCCTGGCTCAGTCTCTTTCAGAATCTCTGTTAATATTTGAAATGTCCCAGTGTTCATTTGTCACCTTATGATTCCAGTGTAATTTTGAAAGCAGCCACTTTATCTGCCAACTTGAACACAGTTGTTGTTCTTCCCTGAAGTGACAGATGAGTTCATTGAGCAGGTTGAATACGTCACACAAGTAAGCAAGTTTTGTGACCTATTCTGTGTTACTGAAATGTGCCGCCAATGATGACTGTTTTTCTAAAAAGAAATCTCTGCAGCAGCTCTCTTAACTTGAAAACTCTGGCCAGTGATCTACCTTTAGAAAGCCATCTCACTTCTGTGTGTAAGAGAAGACATGTGTGCTCTGCATCCATCTCCTCACAGAGCTGTGCAAACAGATATGAGTTAAGGGCATGTATAATATGGTTGATAATTTTAATCACATACTGCAAAACGTTGTTAACTTCAGGTGACATTTTCCAAATAGCCATCATTTCTGTATGGATGACACGGTGCATAGACTCACATTCAGAAGCGACCTCTTTGACCTGATTAGTGAAACCAAAATGCCATCCAGTCATGGCAACTGCTTCACCCGTGCATATACCGACGCATATACCGATGCAAAATGACTGATTCCATTTTCCTGATATGTAATCATTCAAAGACTTGAATAGGTCTGCAGCTGTGGTGCTGGTTGGCAACAAAAGTGCATATAATGTATCCTCATTCACATCCTCCTGAAAAACATATCATACTCAAAAAAGCATTGTTGCTTTGTTGTCAGCATCAGTAGACTCATCAACCTGGATTGTGTACCACGGTGACTCATTAATCCTTTCTAACAATTGTACCTCATTATCGTCTGATATTTAATCAATTCATCTAGTTGTGGTGCTAGCCAAAAGAGGAACACATGCCACCTTTTGAACTGCAGCCTCTCCTAAAAGTTCATGACAAATATCCTTAGTAGCAGGCAGGATCAACTCTTCACCAATAGTAAAGGGCTTCTTAGTTTTAGCAATGTGGTTAGCCACTAAGAATGATGCTCTCAGTGCAGACACATTTGATGAAGTGGTAGCCTTCAATAATTGCTTCTATTCTTTATGTTCACATTGTTTTCTTTTGAAAAACTCCAAAGCCTTAGTATTAATGCAGGGTGCTTGGTCTCCATGTGACAAAGCAGTTTAGAAGACTTCATGGATTTGTTACACAGCCACTTGCTACATATTATACAAAGTGAGCTTGGAGAATGTGAATCACCTGTTGTAATGAACTGGTATTTTAAGTAGGACTTTTGGTATTTTCTTTTAAATGCAGCTTTCTTTTTGTTGGCAGCCTTTAACGTTTTCTGCAGTCTCATCGTGGATCTTTCTCCCTTTTCAAAGAAGCTCTCCAGTGAAGTTTGTTTTTTACTCATTTTGGCTAGGGTTAGCTTATGGGCTTACCAAAACTGTGACTGAGAAAGTGCACGGTGCAGGAAAGAGACATGGATGGAAGTGGTAAATAAGATAATGGGCGGGCCAGGCACAAACTAAAATCGTCAGATTCTGACTTAAAGCCTGCCATCAGCTGCAGCTGTACAAACTGAAGTACATCAACTCACTTGCCACTATGTAGCCTGCCACCAGATGCAGCTTAAGTGTCACGTGCTACTTAGTGATAGGGTTTTGATATGAGTCTGCAAGTAATTGATTTATTATGGTCTCTGTGCAGTCAAACCTCTCTGCTATTGTTAATCTGTATTTGCAGCCACTCCCCAGCGCTAGCATCATCACCTCAGCTCTACCTCAGATCATCAAGCATTAGATTCTCATAAGGAGCATGCAATGTAGATCCCTCACATGCGTAGTTCACAAAAGGGTTCATTCTCCTATGAGAATCTGACGTCACCGTTGATCTGACAGGAGGCAGAACTCAGACAGTAATGTGAGCAACAGGAAACAGCAGTAAATACACATGAAGCTTCTGTCGCTCACCCACTGCCCACCTCCTGCTGTGCAGCCCGGTTCCTAACAGGCCACGGACTGGTACTGGTCTGTGGCCAGGGGAGTTGGGAGCCTCTGCTCTAGTTCTCCTCACCATGGACACATAATTTCTGGCTGACTGCTGCTTGGTGTCACATTTATCATAGACTAAAAGTTCTTAAATACATAAGTCTATTTTTAGACTTTGAATTCTTTTGAAATTTCTACACTTTTCTATCTTGCTGTTTGATCAGGAATATTTTGTCTTTGTTCTTTAAAAAATTGCCCTAACTCTTCTTGCTCATTTATTCTTTCATATGAATTTAGGGGCATCTTGAATATGATATTATAATATTTCTTATCTGATAAAGGAATTCTTATGCATTTGTTCTTTTAAAATTTGCTTTAGCTCTCTTGCACATTTATTCTTCCATGTGAATTTTAGAAGCATTTTTATTGGAATTGCATGGAATTTATAAATTAATCTGGGGTAGGATTGACACCTTTGCCATACCATCTTCTCATCCGTAAAAGTGATATATATCTTTCTATTTGTTCAGGTCTTATTTATACTCTTCAATGAAGTTTTCCAAAAAGCATTACATGATTCTTATTAGTTTTATACTAAAGTACTCTTACAAAGTGTACCTTTCTCCCCCAAATACAGTGTCTAATTGGCTTTTTTTTTTTTGAGACAGAGTCTCACTCTGTTGCCCAGGCTGGAGTGCTGTGGTGCGATCTCGGCTCACTGCAAGCTCCACCTCCCAGGTTCACGCCATTCTCCTGCTTCAGCCTCCCAAGTAGCTGGGACTACAGGTGCCCACCACCATGCCCGGCTAATTTTTTGTATTTTTAGTAGAGACGAGGTTTCACCATGTTAGCCAGGATGGTCTCGATCTCCTGACCTCGTGAACTGCCCGCCTCGGCCTCCCAAAGTGCTGGGATTACAGGCGTGAGCCACCGTGCCCGGCCGACTATTGTTGATATATGGGAATGACACCGATCTTTGTATATTTACTTTGTTTTTACTGAAATATAAATGTAGAGAAGTACACAGATAATAAGTCCATAATAATTATCACAAAATGAACAGTTGTATAACCAATACTCAGATCAAGAAACTCCAGCATCCCAGAAAACCATGTGCCCTTTCTTCCTGTGCTCCAGAAATAACCACTATTCTGATTTCAAATACCATAATTTTGCCTAGTTTTGAACTTCATGTAAATTAAGCCATGCAGTGTATATTCTTTGTATTAGGCTTCTTTTGCTCAACAAACATGTTGTTGCTATATAGTATGCCACCATTTGAATATTACAATAGTCATCATTGGGATTGTTTCCAATTTAGGGCTGTTATGAACAGGGCAGTTATTACCTTCTTTGAGAATATTTTTTGTTGCACATATTTTACACAATTGTGTTGGATATACATCTAGGAATAGAATTGCTTGGTCATCTTATATAATCAGCTTTGGTAGATTCTGTCACACAATTCTGAAAACAGGATTAGTCAATAGGTGCATAGTTGGTGTTTTAATGAACCTTCAAAATAGCATGACAAATATGGCTCTGCAAATGGTCATTACACCGTGGTTTCCAAACAAGCTATCCTAGACTCTCAAATAAAAGACAATCTTCTTAGCTAATTAATGCAGTTTGCTTGGCGATTCTTACTCATATTAGAAGTCTTAATGTTAGTGCCTTACTCAGGATACATTTAGTAGTGAATGACTGAAATCAAATTCAAACTAACTTTTGCAAAAATAAACAAAAATATAAAGGGAGAGGGTGAAATATATTGGTTAAAGTGATGAAACAAATGT